CCCCAAAACCCCAAAACCCCAAAACCCCAAAACCCCAATTTCTCAACAAGATTTGAAATTACTTCATTATATACCTTCTTTTTTGCCCTTGAATGGGAATTATCTTCCTAGATTGTATGAAAGGAAGCTCTCCAGGGGTGAGAGCTAGAGGTCTAACTTCTGAAGGATCAAATTTATCTTTACTCCAACTGATCATTTCCTCTGTGAATATTGAGATAGGACCTTACCAAGACTATCAGTTTCTTTAGGAGGAAGCTTTATAATTTTTGGGGATTTCTGAACAAAATCAGGACTGTTGTTCTTTGACCTTGGCGCTTCTATGAAATGTTAATAATAATCCTACTTTTATGTTTCACCTTAAGCTCCTTGTAGAGACCATCTCTAAGAGGAACACCTCCTCCATTATGCGAGAGTTTAGACTTTACATGTCTATTTCTTTGGCGTTTGATAAATATTGGGAAGACATTTTGTTTCAAGTTTTGGAATACCTTCTACTATGCTTTTAATTGCTTTATCTTTGACATTTTTTGCCTTCAATCTAATATTCCTTATTCTTTGAGATAAAGGAATACTAGAGTCACAAAAATCAAAAGATTCTCTTTTGGAATCTGAAATCAATCTTTTTGCTGACATTTTCAAAGGTGAAAAAGGAGACATTTTCTCTGGAGACCTCACATTTGGAGCATTCATCTTCCTGTGATACTTCATGTATGATTTTGGTGTCATAGCAGGGATACTCTGATTATCAAGCCATAAATGATGATCGTTCCTATGATAACTTATCGACCTACTTCTTATTTTCACAATCAGCATTCCTAAATTTGACTTTATTTTCCTTTTTGTCGATATAAATTTTTATGAAAGGACTGATTATAAAAGCTAGATGCCTTTTCATTCCAAAAGTCTATAAAATCATCTCTAAATCTCTGCTCTATTTACCATTTCCACTGCTCTCTTGGCCTCTCTTTTCAGGCTTGCTTCTGATGACAACTTCAATCTTATGGCTGATATCCTCTTCCTGCAGTTCGATCTGTTCTTTCTTGTTTTCTTCTTTCTAGTTAAAATTACATACTAAAAATACAAGTTCAGGCTCCTTTTTAAGGTCTATTTCATCTATGTTCTCCTTTTTGGCAGTGAAACTAGGATCAAAAGCAATATTGTTACCTGAAGTCTGATTTTAGTAGGTCTTCAGTGAGAATACTATCGTTGATGACTGTGGAGCTGTTTGGGTTCCTATGTTTGGAGATGGGTTAGAGGGGAGGGCGGGAATGTAGATAGGGAGATTTTTTACTCGGAGTCCTCCATTTTCAATAATTTGCACATAAAAAGGGGTTTTGGGGTTTTGGGGTTTTGGGGTTTTGGGGTTTTGGGGTTTTGGGG